ATTGATTCCTTCAATTGCGTATTATCTCACGAGTATACATAGAAATCCTTTGATGAGTCGCTCATTCAGGACCAGCTCCTAATGCTGCCGGCCAGTCTGCCATTTTCTCTCATGCCACACTTATGGCTCCAAAAAGGGAGTCTCTTGATATTGCCAGAACAGCAGGGGTACTACGAGAAGCGACACAAGTTTTGATCAAAGGGTCAGTTGATGTGATTGAGTTTTGCTCTTTTTAATTCATGTCATGAAAGCTGCAAAAGTTTTAGCACAGGCCTGAGTGACGCTGAGCGGCTTCCTATCGGATTGGACGTCAGCACACTTCAACAGCTTCTTCCCAGATGTTGAGGTCGAGAGCATTGTTGGCAATTTTACACCATTTCTTGGTAAGAGGTTGTTTTAGGGAAGGGTGTATCATATACGGCGTATCATAGAGCGATCGGGCTCTTCGAGCCCACAAGTTTTCTATCATCCCCACCAAGTTCTTACGCAGCTGAGTTTCAGGTCATGATCCTCTCCCAAAAGATCAGTGTCTACCTCAGCCATTGCCATGCGATCACACAACTAAATACAGGTGATCTAACATATTCAACCGTCTGCCTAAATGAGGAGAACCATATCTTATAGCTTCTATTTAGATCGTATTCTGGCTGGTGCAATAATCTACAGTTCCCCAAGTACGGTAATGCGTTTGTGGGAATGCGTCGACTGCTAGATCCAGCCTACGATGACGGTGAATGTTAAGATTAGCTATCCAATGTGGTTTCATTTTCATTTGTGGGCGAGTCAGTTTTGAAAAGGAGGTCGTTCTCAAGTGTGGGAGAGCGAATAAGGCGAACCTTTCTCTGATGGAGAAGATCTAAGCCACCACGCCTGCAATGGGCGCAATTGCCGTACGTCTCAGATCCTTACCTTTTGGAAGAACCAGTCGAAGAACGCGGTCTGTTGCTAGTCGTTAGCAGGAAGCAGTTGTGCGGACGAGTTTCCCCTCAGAAAGGAGTGTTTGAACTCCTGAGGCAAGCTTTTTCACCTTCCGCCCGCCAGAAATTTGCGGTGATGCTCCGCCTCAGTCCTGACATAACCCTGAACGCCAGGGTTGTGGTTCACTAGGACTTTTTCGCGACTCGCAGCGCGAAACATTTTTCGCTGCGGTACTATACTGCCTCGGACTTAGTCCCGATCGGAGGGCCTCTGTACACGCGCGCCGGTCGGATTGCGCGCTCCAATGTTCAACAGCGCGCCCCAGTGCGACGTGGTTACGGTGGAAACCCAGGCAACCATACTGATAAATCGATCTTGTCCGCTACTGCAATGATCTCATTGGTCGCATATCGGTTCCCCTGTCATTTTTTTTACCGTATTCTACCATCTCAGAGGGACGGTCAACGAATGAGATTCCCGGAAAAGCAGGTATGAACCCCGCCCTACAAACGGTGCTCTGAGTGGTTTCAAAAGCGTTCCTTGCTCCCATCATTATTGAAAAAATAAGCACACTAACTTTCATTTTTGAATTCATTTAGCACTAAAGGTTCAATCGCGGGATGTCAACTGTTTTTCATCCCTTGCATTGAAACTATTAACATGGTTAAGTGGTAGCGAGCCCATGTGCATTATCACAGTTACGGGTCTTCCAAGTG